TCGCCGCCCTCGCCGCCCTCGCCGCCTCGCCGCCCTCGCCGCCCTCGCCGCCCTCGCCGCCTCGCCCCTCGCGCCCTCGCGCCGCTCGCCGCTCGCCGCCTCGCCGCTGTTTCTACATTTCAACTTACTCCCAGATGTTGCGATCGTTCTTGTCTGCACGCCCCTCAGACGTACTTTCAACAGACGTGCCTGCCAACACCTTATCGGGACTTTCCCCTCCCCCTATGTTTTCGTGCCTTTAGAATACAGCGCCTCCCTCTGTCGTACTATTCGCCATAGTTTTTTTATGAAAATTTCAATCGTATATTCTTCAGATTATGTAGCTATATTTATCTGCTCCAGGTTGAAATTCTCCACATCTTCGGTCACATGCTGCCACTTGTCAAATCTCTCATGTAGCACGAACACTTCAGTAATTTAACAGAAGCTTCCATTTCGACTATTACTCGCTTTTATTTGCCGTTAATTTGTCTTGACTGCCGCCTTACATCTCACTGCTTCACTTCAACATTCCTGAAGACGCGTTGAATTTGCCGTAATGCTGCTCGCCATGTTTCTTTCGTACATTATTCCTCTCCACTGTCTCTTTCATCTTCCTTGTTGCCCTCTCCATTGCTACGAATCCCTAGCAAATTCTACGCCTCACGTCCGCAACTTTTGCCCCCCCCCAATACGCCACTACTGCTCTCTCGCCATCTTCTCCACCCCTCGCCCGCTATTCCAGCGAAATCGCCATCCATGATCCCCTCGCAAGCTATTCTTACTTTTCCCCATCCGCAATCCTTGCCCCTCTCGCTCGTATTCTTTGCCTTCGGTTTGCGCATCTCGCCCGCAATCTTTCCCCTTTCTCCCGGAATCCTGCTCTCCTCGCCGCCTCCCCTTTCCTCGCCATCTCCCTTTCTCGCATCTCTTTGCCTCGCATCTCCCTTTCCTCGCCATCTCCTTCCTCGCCATCTCTCTTCATCGCCATCCTCTTCATCGCCATCTCTCTTTCCCTCGCCATCCTCTTTCCTCGCCGCCTCCTTTCCTCGGCCGCCTCCTTTCTCGCCATCTCCCTTTCCTCGCCATCTTCCTTTCCTCGCCAATCTCTCTTTCCTCGCCCCACTCTCTTTCCTCGCGATCCTCTCTTCTCGCCATCTCTCTTTCCTCGCCATCTCTTTTCCTCCCATCGTCTCTTCATCGCCATCTCTCTTCCTCGCATCTCTCTTCATCGCATCGCTCTCCTTTCCTCGCCATCTCCTTTCATCGCCATCTCCCTTTCCTCGCATCTCCTTTCCTCGCCATCTCCCTTTCTCGCCAATCTCCTTTCCTCGCCTCATCTCCTTTTCCTCGCGCCATCTCCTTTCCTCCGCATCTCCCTTTCCTCCGCATTCCCTTTCCTCGCCATCTCCCTTTCCTCGCTCTCCCTTTTCGCCTCTGCCTTCCTCGCCATCTCACTTCTCGAATTCCCTTCTGCATCTCCTTTCCTCGCCATCTCCTTTCCTCGCATCTCACTTCCTTCGCCATCTCTTCCTCCATCGCCTTCCTCTGCATGTCCCTTATCGCCATCTCTCTTCATGCGCCATCTCTTATCGCCATCTTCTCTCTCGCCTCCTTTGCCCTCCCTCTTCCTAGCCGCTCCCTTTCCTCGCCATCTCCCTTTCCTCTGGCCATGCTTCCTTTCCTTCGCCATCTCTCTTTTCCTCGCCATCCTCTTTTGCATTTTCCTCGCCATCTCTCTTCCTCGGCTCTTCTTCTCTCTTCTCTGCATCTCTCTTTCTCGCCATCTCTCTTTCCTCGCCATCTCTCTTCACGCCATCTCTCTTCAATCGCATCCTCTTTCATCGCCATCTCTCTCATCGCATCTCTCTTCATGCCATCTCTCTTCTGCCATTCTTCTTCATCGCCATCTCTCTTCATCGGCCATCTCTCTTTCCCTCGCCATCTCTGTAACCCTAGTTTTACGTGTGTCCCTACATAATTCCTGACCACCTCCTCCTTCCATCTCCACTTCCTTACTTCCTGGTTCCTTTCTTCCTCCTTCTATCCAGCACCTCAACCATCATTCTTCTGCAGGTACCTCTTATACCGTTTCACGTGATCCTTGCCTTGCTGTCGGGCGCGCGCTGCGTCTCTCTTTCCCCGCCGCCTCCGTCGTCTCCGCGTGAGTCGCCCAACATAGGTCGGATCGAAGCGCAGGTCGGGCGTGACTTCTCCTCCTCTCCCGCTCCCCCGAGCTGCCACCTTCAACATCGTTATCGCATTCCCGCGGCCACCGCCTCCTCCTCCTGCGCCGCACCAACTCCTCACGCTGCATTCGTGGAGCGTCGCCAAGTTCTGCGGCGGGTAAATACCACGTGAGAAATTATTTGCAGATTCTGGGCAATTAAGGCACAAGTTACACTGCATTAGGGCTGCGACAGTGGTGTGTGCCATCTTTATGAACACAGCTAACTTGTTAGAAAGTTGAAATTCACGTGAACGTTACAGTACTGGCTAGTAATTAAGTTTCATTACTCGGGAAGGATGATAACAAGAGAAATGAAGAAGAATTGATAAAAATAGGTGTTATACACAAGCAAGTGGACTATTTGTATCGAACGTTATACTTTTGGAAGATAACCTTATGAAAATGATGCTCAAAGTTACATTTCTGTAATACCTAAGTAGTAATTTGTAGAATTGTTTTTAAATAGTTTACACCATATTCGCTTAAACTATTTAAGACATGTTTTAGTTTCGTGATATCCGTGTTCCTGCAAAAATCTGTACCACCAGCAGCACGTATGAATCATATACTCTTAAACATGAACCTAGGACTCAAGGAGAGTGGCGTTAATTTTCGACGAGGTCTCTGCTACGACCTCTCACCGGCATATCGAATATCTGAAACTCGGGGCAAGAGTCGACGCCCGGCAGAGCTGAAACTGCCGCCAAATTAACGAGCTGACACGCCCAGGCGACCCTAGGCCGCGCCTGTCGGGACCGCCCGGCCAAAGTCGCAAGCAGAGCAACCTGTCACGGCCCGACGCAGCAGCAGCGTGGCCGAGTCATTGCCTCAAGCACCGGGCGCATCCGAAGGCATTTTGCACGACCAAAGATGACATTTGCAATCGGCAAATTGACTTACTCTGCATCACTTGTGGCTTAGGATGAAAGACCGTTGTACCTGTAAGCTTCTGCGGCTCGATTCCATTAATTCGTGGCTATTCGGGAGACGCTGCGTCGTTGGTTGAGAGGACGACGTTTCGCCTGACATGTTACAGGCTTCCTCATTGCCCTGAGGAATCCTGTGACATGTCAGGCGAAACGGCGGCCTCTCAGCCAACGATACGGCGACTTCCAGATAGTCAAGAATTTTTTTAGAAAGACGTGTTCTGGTCCGATTTATCGCCTTCCACTGCCGTAACTGGGATTCTACTCCAGGTCTATTCATGTTAAATTTGTACAATGGACCAAATGAGTTGAGTAGCTGTTAATATCAGGGGACACCCGTTTCTCCTTATCTCTTATTCCACCATCTCTCAATTTCATTATAGCAGTCCAATTTGGGCGCCAGTGCACATTCAAGATTCAGACAAGGGTATATTGAATATGGATTTGAGAGGCTAAGATTGGCTAGTTTGCAAGTAGTTATATTTGATAAGCATGGAATAAATAAAAAACAATACTATTCATAATTGGTTATTTCTTAATAATTTATTAATATGTGACGAAAGCAGTAATAACACAATGTAGCACAGGTAAACTACATTTACAGCCTTTTGGTAGACGAAACAATGAAACATCTTAAACCTCTGTCCGATCCTACTCATTTTCACTGTTTTAGTAACAGAATGTAAAAGCATCAGATCGAGAAACATTTCTCATAAATTATTTTTATTTATATTATTATTGAAATCTGTACTGTACCCAATTGTAATGTTGTAATCTTAGTACTGTACCCAATTGTTGCTTTCTCCTTCTCTCTCTACCTTCTCTTTTGATTCCACCCTTCTTAATAAGATATTGCCTCTGGTAAATTACATCTTTGTACGCGACGAAAAGAAAGTCGTTCGATAAACTTTTAAAATACTGCCCTATTATCTATTTCTTAGAACGGAAATTTCCATCTTCTGACCCCACTGCACGTGAAAAGTGCCTCTCCCACACAATAGCAGCTCCATTTTACTCACTGACGCTTTGAAAGGCGAGACAAGTGTGACAAAAGTGAATACTATAAGGGTTGTAATAAATGTGCACCTGAAATTACCTAGGAAATTTGAAAATTGATTCATTTTATATATTGAACATATGAAAATATCGTTGACTATATTAAAAATGTGTTTCAAATAATTTGCAACACTGGAAAAAGGAATGTTGGGTAAAATGATTTTTAAAGATTCTCAAATAAAATAGTCAAACGACGCATCTTTATTCATACACTTTTGATATTTCTATAGTTACAGTAATAACAACTAAAGTATTTACATTAATATTCGATAAAAGCTCACCTTTATATATTTTAATTTTTAATTGAGAGGGCAAATGAGATCTCGTTGTTTCAGTGCAATGGTTTCTATGAAAAAGTACTTTTGTACGTGTGAACCTTTGTAAGTGTGTTGTACTTTTTTTTATTTTCACTTTTTAGTCATAATTTTAGACATGATTCGTGTTGAAAATAAAGAATGACAATTGACTGTTGACTGAAAAGATAATTATGTATATAATCTGAAATTTATTCATAAAATTTAAATCAATGTTAAATTAGACACATATCTATTTTACGTCTTTTGATTATTTTAGTGCCTATGGACGTTCACTACTTGACAATATTTCCTCCTTCCTAGTCTCGCCATACTTTGCATTGCTTTTTTGTTCGAATTTTATATTAATATACGTTTTGCACGCCCCGAAAGAACCGCATGCACTAGTGACTGTCTGAATAGTATTTTCCTATCCTGGAAGACACCGTGCGCAAGTGACGAGCGTCCGCGCGAGGTGTGTGTGTGTGTGGGTGTGTGTGCGCAGGCGAGGCCACCATGTCCGGCGGGCCCGCGTCGACCAAGCCGGCGGGGGGCGCCTCCGCGCGGCCGCACCACGCCGCCGCCACCAACTTCCTGCGCCAGTTCCGCGACCCGCACAGCCGCGAGCTGCGCCGCCTCTCCGCGCACCAGTTCATGGACGTGTGGAGCCACTACGACAAGGACGGTGAGTGACAAGCGCCGCGCGCAGCCAACGCGCGACGCCGAATGGCTCGAGTCGTCAAATTCAACCGCTGCCAAGAGAGTTCCAGACGGTGGCTGCTCTGATCGGGAGGGAGTTGTCCGTGGTTTCTCCGATCAGTATCAGGTGATGCTGTAATGCCGCAGCAGCACCGTAACAAACTAACAAAGAACCCCGCACCACCTTTCTTCTCTATCTTGTCCTATCCTCTCGCCTTACACTTGAATGGCAGTTCTCCACTTTTTAGGAGCCCAGTCGGGAGCTTCCAGTTTATCCCGGCCGGAGCGGTGATGCCACTTGGGGAAATTCTCGTAGGCCGACGTGTAGATCTGCGCCGGATTTCACCACCAATCGGAAGATAACCTCCACCGCCCATGATGAAACATTCACTACACTTACACAACTATTAACCGTAGCAGTTAACGCCACTCGGAAATAATAAATCCATCAAATAGCACAACTAAGTGCGCAGAATATAAAAATACTCCGACCTTCTTTTACAAAATAGACACTACAATTTTATATTTTTAAATAATTTATCTAATTTTAACGTTTTATTCGTAATTGGAAACTATAAAAAATCTTGGTTCATAATTGTAAACAATACTAATAAAGAATTTTAAACAGTTACCATTTACTATATAAATTATCGACATTACAAAAATATTGATCAGATGATGTTAACAAATTCTCATCTTCAGATCAGTAGATTTTATAATATTGACATTTTTTAAAATAAAATTCTACCTGTTTTACATTTTTCACTGATATATTTTTACAAACACGGTCCATGATTTCTTGGAAATAGACCTCAATTAGTGTCGAAACGTTAAAAGTAAATAACTTATTTGAATAAATAATATTGTAGTTCAGTTGTTTAAAAAAGGTCGGAATACTTTTACAACTTTACGAAATACCAGAGTTGATCTATTCCATAAAAATAACCGTAATTGGGTACAGAATGTCTCAGAATAAGTGTTACAAACTTTTGGAGCATGCGTCGGGTGAGATATGATCACTTCTTGCATATCAATTTGTGGTGAGAAATTTCGTTATGAAGTTACACGCGGCATTTGCCCCTGATTTGTAGGCACCTCATCACACGCAGATGTTTAGCGGTAAGCGTTCCTAGAGATTTTGCTCTAATGTAGCTCTAACGCGCTCAAAGAGATTTTGTGTTCCCTCCGTACATCAATGAAATACAACACAAAAAACACAAAATTGAATTATTGTGTCAGTACGTATCTTACTCCGATCTATTTAAAATAGTCAATTGTCCATTTTTTATAAACTAGTGTTAAAATATCTGCCAATATCAAATTCTCAATTTGAAAGTAAATACCTAATAGTTTCGCATTATTGAAACACCAGTGTGTTTATATTCGGTACTAGAAAATGCTTATATAAAAGTTTATAAATTCATTCAAATAAAATAATAAAGAAAAAAACGATTAGGTTTTTGCATCGTAAAATGCATCTTTTCAATATATGGTGTTAATCATTTCGATGCATAATTAGTGTATTCTACTTTGTTTCCAGTTTCTTGTTTATATAAAGTGATTTGTGGAGAAACCATTGATGGCCACCGGCAGCCAAAGTGTATTGATTTACAATTCAACACTGATGCATAAAATAAAAAGTAAAGAGAAGTAAAAATGATACAAATATTTAGTGAAAGAGAAAAAATAAGTATAATTGTGTCAAATAAAGTGGACCCCAATCTAGAAACTCATTATAAACAAGGAAGAATAAAATTCTATTCATCTAATTAATTTGTATGGCATTCCTTACGAACATTAATGATGTAAGGAACTCAAATTATTTACATTATTTTCTCACCAGTCATTGTCTGATTGGATGAATACATAGGATACATATTTTTACGATTTGTGTTCATATAATACGACTGAATTGTTTGCAGCTCACTGTATTTTTAAAATGACTCTTGAAGTTTCAAATTTCAGTTTTATTTTAACTTTCAAAAATATCAACCGTATTCAAAATCGTTTGAAGTGGAGTTATGATTAACATAGCCTCCCAGAGCGAAAAACTCACCAGAAGTTCAGGGTTTAAATTATTGATTTGTAATATTTCCAAAGTTGAAATTATGTTTGAAATATAATTTAAATTCTTCTAATTTTCAAATTATAATTGAAATATAATTCTTTAATTCCTAGGGATATTTTAACTCGGCCTTCTTCAATAACCTAATAATGATACATCAGGGCATCTCGTAACATATATGTTGTCCCTTTTAGAGTTATATAATACAGAAATCTCTCGTTGACACGAATTTCAAAGGCTGAAATATTCAGTGTTTATATAAAAAAGCATATTATCCGATTTTTATATAAATGCTCGGTACTATGTTTCGTTGGCTGGACCCAAATTTTGTTCGTTTGACGACGATTTAGGAGTTAAGCGAGTTCGTGCTAACGAAGGTGTACTGTAACTAACGGTTATTTTTAATGTTTTTACTGCTATTGACAACTACAGACTGACAAGATATTTTTCACTTGCTTCTCTTTATGTTTTCAAAACAATACCAGTACATGTTTTATAAATTAATAGTATTTTTAGCCGGGGGTTACACCAACCTCACCTGACTATTAACTCTACATATTTAGAGTTACATGACCATACAATTTTTGTAATAATTTCTAACTAATAAACAAATTATTGTACTTAAATACTACGATAGTGCAAGTAGGTGTTACTCAGAAAACATCTGATTGTTTAATTCTTCGCCCTTGTAGCTAGTTTTTACATGCTGATATCTCGTAACAAGTTACAATACTTTCTACATCCATCAGATAAAAATTTAAAATACCATAATTATGTAAATATACATATATTGTAAATTATTTGACGGCAGATATAATTCAACCCCTTTGATCTGCAATATGTAATTGCAGTGAAAAATCAGCTGTTTGTAATCACAGTAGGTTAATTCCAGGACCCAATGTAAGTATTTAAATTCTACACATTCGGCATAACGTGCTTCCACACACATACAGACACACACACATATTCATTAGACATAAAGATGGAAATTAGTAATAATTCTCAGTAAATGTTTTCACAAATTTAATTACCCTATAATTGTATTATGTTAAATGAAACACCATACCGGTTACGACTGTACAGAATTACCACTAATGTATTCAGCTGCTCTATTCCCGCAGTTTGCCTTGCTTGGTCTCAGAAATCCCAGTACGCAATGAACTCACAACTGCAACAACTCTTGTTAATGAGACCAAGTTTACTTCCGTTTAAACTACAGCATTACAGTTTACTTCAGAGTAGAATGGTCTCATCTCAAAGCGAGAATATTCACACTTCCTTCTACTTGCTCTTCAGCATCTTCCCTCTAGTTGCTAATTAGCATCAAATAAATTACCATGTCCTGGTAATTATTTTCTTCCTATAGATATGATTCTATGTGTACATATATTAAAGTTGCTTAGCATGTGGATGTTTTTAAAAATTAGGATCTGTACAAAATTAAAAATAAAACGGAACTAACTGAAGTATGATCATACATCGTACATGAATCCTATATGACACCGACAGCTATCAATATCATACAAACACATGTAATTATTTTACTTAAACTATTAATTTCTCATCGTTCTGGGCGAAAACCTGAAACATGGGTTAGCAATGTGCACATGATGTGTCGATGAACAACATACATCACCGAAATTTATAAACCCTTGCTTCTAAATTACACCATAGTTCTCTTCGGCAGTAGCAGCAAGCAGGTTGCGGCACATAGCACATGACAAGGAGTCGTGAAATTTGCTATCGAAAGACACTTCCGAAGTTTTTAAGGTTACTTTACGTTAGACAATATAACTGTATTACACATAATTATCGATATTTTTTAAATAAATATTTATTTAAGGTTGCTTTTTAACTGTTGGGGTCATAAGCAACGACAATCAATATATCTTACATATGCAGACGAACATTTAACATTATACTTACCATGTATGCTTCACAAAAATGTATTTCATGTCATTAAATCAAAACTAGGAAACGTAAATAAAACAAGTTTATATACATTTACATTGTGTAGTTCCTACATTTACTTTGTAACTAGATGTTACGGTAAAAACAAAATGAACATAAGTTTTCCGCCATTTTTAATTATTTCTTATTAATCTATTAAGTTCAAATATTATATATTAAGTCCAAATCCTCTGGCAAATTTCTTATTTAGCCTGATGTTGGTGTACGAAGGAACTATCCAATTTCTGCACCACCGATGTATGCACACTTAGTTCTCAAGCGCTTATTGACTAGCGTCCACAATTGAAACAACGTTCGTTCCAATCGAATTATAAAGCGCATTGTGCTGTCATTCATATTGGACCACCACCTAGCCCATTGAGTTCGGATCCGAAACCATTAACATGCCTATTTACTCCATGTACAAGGTCTTTAAAATCCAAACACCTTGCCGACAGAAACTCAATCTGGATGATATAAATTTCCATTTCCATCACCTTAATTACGCTTCACGTCGTTAAATCCCGGTTGCATTTATCGCCGATACTCGCAGCGTGCATAGCACACGGGCATTTGCAGGCCATCCTATACAACAAACCTGACTATTCCCACGCAAAAAGCAAAGGCAACCGCGAAGCCCCCCACAACAGAGCGATCAGCGCCGTAGCGGAAACGCGATCTCCGATAAGCGCGGCCCAGAGGGCGCTGGCGGGTGGCTCGAGAGCACGTGGCACGTGGTACGTGGCGTGCGGCGCGGCGGGGCGGGTCGGCCACGCCTCGCCACGCGCCACCGCGCGCTCAAAGGGCCGGCGCAGGAAATGCGATGAAGCCGCAGGGAGGGGCACGTCGCGGTGACGTTGAGATGGCAAAGGCGGCGGGAAGAGAAAACGGATAATCCAGACCGGTGGATAGGAGAGGCAGCTCTTTTAGAACTAACAATAGAACA